AAGCTCTCTTGTCGCGCTGCTTGTTGCCGAGCTCTCTGCTCTTGAGCGAAAGCTCACCTTTCTCTCTCTCTCTCAAACGTATGCACTGTCAAAAATAACACAGAGGAAATTGCCTGATTTTTACCATCTCAACAGCAGTAGCTCATCATAACTCATTCCATTCTCTGCTTGAACGGTAAGCAGTTTAGTGCGGTTTGAGCTCGCTCTCGTGAGTTGTTCGGAAAGTTATTTTTTGAGTTAGTGTTCGCGCTCTTTCGTTCGTGGTTTGTCGTGCGTGTGTGTGTGCCCCGAAATGGGGAAGCATCGCTCGCGAAGCCTCGTGAAGGAACAGAACCCCGGTGAAGGAAGCTCCGGTGTGCCTACATCAAACAGGTTTGCTGTTCTTCCCATCGATGGGCATACCCAGCCAGCTGTAACAGGAAAGCGCAGCAAAAAGAGGAAGAAGAATCGGGCCCAGTCCGACTGCACGATTTCTCGCGACGATGCCACTGCGACGAACGGCAGTGATGTCGGAGATTTCGGTGACGTTGCCGCCATGAGCACGGCAAAAGTAAAGCTACCTCCGTTGGTAGTAAAAAATGCCCATCTTAACGATCTCATCGCAGATCTGGCGTCGCTGGGCGTTAACGCCGAATTCAAGTTGGGCAGAGTCGGCACCAAGGTGATGCTCCGAACGAAAGTGGAGTATGACTTCCCTAATAAAAAATAACCATAAACGAACGATAACCCAAATCATTGAACTATTCCACAAATTGTTTGGATGATACCCAGAACACGTCGTTAAGCAAATTAACCATACAATTTTTATTAGGGTTGGTCGTTGCCCACCTGAGGATTTCCAAGGTGGAATTCTTCACCCACGACATTCCCGGTGAGGAACCATTCAAGGTCGTCATCAGGGGTCTACCGAACTTTGACCTGAAGTTGATCGAAGCGGAAATCAAGAACCGCTACAAGCTGGCCCCAACTGCCGTCTTCCGGATGACAAGGAGGGACGAGAACGTCAAGAAGTATCCAGATTGCCTTTTCCTGGTGCATTTCCAGAAGGGAACGGTGGCGCTCAATGTGTTGAAGGCCATCCGCTCCTTCAATTCCATCATTGTCCGATGGGAGCCATACCGTGGCGGCCGTCACGACGTCGCCCAGTGTCAGCGTTGCCTGAATTTCGGGCACGGCACCCGAAACTGCTTCGTCAAGCCGCGCTGTGGCAAATGCGCCCAAAACCATGTCTCCTCCGTGTGTGTTGTCAACGAGTCGGAAACGGCCAAATGCGCCAACTGTGATGGCGCTCATCAAGGGTCCGACAAACAGTGCCCCAAACGCGAAGATTTCAAGCGGATCCGAAAGCAACCGTCCACAAGAAATCAACCAGGACGAAAGAAGGAAAATACGCCGGCATTCAGAGTGGAGGACTACCCACCTCTTCCTGCTACGCAACACGGTCAAGCAAATCCGCAGGTACAATCCGACCCTCGTCAAGAAACGTCTGGTGTTTCTGCTGGACAAAACTCTGCACGCTGCCGCATATCCGCACTTCTATCATCGAGGCCCTTAGTGTGGAGGTGGAATCACCAACCGGAAACGTCCGGTTCATCGCCGTATACTGCCCTAGTCAGTGTGCTGCCAGTAATGGATTAGGCATCCAATTTAAAAATGACCTGACCACCATCACTCGCACGAGCTCACGATTCGTCATTGGAGGTGATTTAAATGCCCGCCACGAAGCATGGCGGAACTATCAGCGGAATCAGAATGGACGTCTGCTCTTCGACCACTCGCAGCTTGGGCTGTATACAGTCCAATTTCCGGATGAACCGACATTCATCTCTCCGGCGGGAAACCCTTCCACGTTGGACTTTTTTCTATCGAACTTTGGACTATCCAAACCGATGGCGATCAACGATCTCAGCTCCGACCACCAACCGGTGGTGGCTGAAGTCGGCACCCACGTGATACCTGCTCAAAGCCTGCGCAAAGACTACCATCATGTCAACTGGGTGCAGTTTGGGCATGTGGTTGACAGAAACATCGATAAAATCCACCGCTTGACACCGTAGAGGACATCGACCGGGCACTAGAAGGACTCCACCAGGCCATATCCATGGCTGACGAGACGTGTGATCGACAAGTTCTTGTGAGGGGTAAGTTTGTTGCCATTGATTCCCACACCCAATTACTGATTCGCTTGAGAAATGTGCGTAGACACCAGTTTCAGAGGACTGGAGATCAAACGAGGAAACGTGAAATGGCCGATCTGAACAGGCAGATTGCTTCCAGAATGGACTCACTCCAAAATGAAAGTTTCGGGCGTGTTGTCCAGAATCTGGATGACCGCTCCCGTGCATTCTGGAAGGTAGCCAAGGTGCTGAAAACTCATCCCAAACCCGTTCCACCTCTCAGAGTCGGAAATGATGACAATCGGCTCATTACCCCACAAGAGAAAGAAAATGCGATTGGCAATCATATTGCTGCATCGCATTTGCTTGGCTCAACTATACAAAGTCCGCTCGAAAATCAGGTGACGCAATGCGTCCAAAATGTAGTTTACTCCCCTTGTGCCGTGCCTCCGGAGGATAAAATTACGGTAGAACAGATTTGCTCAGCGCTGAAATATTCAAAGAATATGAAGGCCCCCGGTTTTGACGGCGTATTTAACCTAATCATAAAAAAGACTTAGCATGAAAGTCTATGCAGTTTTAACTGCCATCTTCAACAGATGCTTGGAGCTGCACTACTTTCCAAGCATCTGGAAGTTAGCAAAAATAATACCGATCCGCAAACCCGGTAAATATCCAGCATTGCCGTCAAGCTACAGACCGATCAGCCTCCTCTCAGCGCTGAGCAAATTGTTCGAGAAACTCATTCTCAATAGATTGCTCAAGTTTGTGGAGGAAAACAATATTCTTCTACCGGAACAGTTTGGGTTCAGGAAGGGGCACTCCACCACTCATCAACTAGTACGGGTGATGAACAACATTCGAAGTAACAAGGCTGTATCCAAGTCCACAGCCATGGCCTTGCTAGACGTCGAAAAGGCGTTTGACAATGTCTGGGCATGACGGACTTATATACAAGCTTTGTAACTTCAATTTACCGTTGCATTTGGTCAAAATTACCCGTTACTTCCTTCAGCAAAGGTCATTCAAGGTATCGTTGAATGGTTGTCTTCCGCAAGGCAATTTGTTGGGCCCCTTGCTCTACAGCTTGTATACTTCTGACATTCCTCCCCTCGGAGACGGTTGCGTGTTCTTCCTGTTCGCAGATGATACCGCGATATCAGTCAAGGGCAGAATGCATCGCGAAATTAGAAACAAACTACAACGATGCCGTGACACCTTTGCTGACTATGCAAACACTTGGAAAATCAAAATCAATGCCTCCAAAACCCAAACTATCTTGTTCCTGCATAGGCAATCACCCAAACTGATACCGGCACCTTCATGCACAGTAGTCATGGATGGCACAAGGGTTGAGTGGTCTGCTGAAGTTACGTACCTTGATATGGCATTCGATGAGAAGCTCCTGTTCCGCTCGCATATAGAAAAGACGTTAGTTAAGTGTTCAAGCTTAGTTAGGTGTTTGTATCCGCTGATTTCTCGCAGATCCCGCCTCTCTAGGGTTAACAAACTGGCTGTCTACAATCAAATCATAGCACCTGCAATTTTCTACGCTGCACCGGTGTGGGAATCAAGTGCTCAAACTCACAGGAACAAAGTCCAGGTGGCACAAAACAGAGTGCTTAGGATGATCCTCGATCGTCCTTTCGACACTAGAATAACAAATTTACACGAAGAGGCAGACATTCAAAAATAGATTCCAGAATTAACGAAATTAAGACTAAATTTACACAAAAATGCAATGTATCAGAACATGCTAAATTTGCGTATAGTATATAGTAGGTTAGGTGTATATAGTAGTTGTAGTTGTAAATAGTAGTTATAAGTAGTTTCCCTTTTCCAATTTAAAACAAACCAATCCCACCAAGGTGGTCATTCTTAAAAACAGGCCTGATAGGACTAGGAACTTTAAATAATAATTAAAAATTTCAAAATGAACTAAAGTTGAAAAGACGCATCTGTGTCACTTGTTAATTCATACATGTAAAACCACACAAATACCAGAAATAAAGATCATTTAAAGTAAAAAAAAAGGCGGTAGCTCATTTTCGCTTCGGACGGCGTGGTGAACAGCAATAGCAGCAGTAGGAAGGTGGTGGCTAGTCCACTCCTTCACACCTAACAAGCAACAATTGACTGGTCGTGACAAAGGAGGAAAAGGTCTGGTAAAAGAGGCGCCAAGCGTCATCGCAAAGTTCTTCGAGATAACCGGCATCGGTCGTCTGGCTCGCCGTGGTGGTGTCAAACGTATCTCCGGTCTGATCTACGAGATGTGCTGAAGGCGTTCCTGGAAAATGAGGTCCGTGATGCTGTCACGTACACTAAACACGCCAAGCGTAAGTACCCATGGATGTCCTCTTCAATAAAACGGCCCTTTTCAGGGCCATCAAGCTTATATCAGTAAAGAGTTGGAATAGAATTTATCTGTGCTTGTTTGTCCATATTCAGAACCACAAGCCCCCAACGGCCACACAAAATGCTCTCCAGAGTTGTAATCTTGTAACCAAACTTGGAAGCAAAGGTGCAAGTGATTTTGATTGATTCTCTTAATCAACTTTCTCTTTGAAAAAAAAAATTACCACAAATTTGGTACACCTACAATTCAAAAACGGAAAGAGTTGAGATAATAAATAATTGATCAATTAAAAGAACTAAATTCTCTTCACATTTATTCCGTCAACTAGCGGTCCTACGTCAAACTTCCGTTCGGGCCTCTAGGCACAGACCCTTCTACTTTTTTAAGAATAAATCAACAAAAACTTGGAATATGAAGATAATCAATTTGTTTATTTTTTAGGGTTAATGGTGAATGGAATTCGGGAGAATGTCTTTCGGACGAATGGTATTCGGGGGAATGTTATAGAATATACTACGTTTATCCTTTATATTGGCCGACTCATTTAATAGCATCAGATGATACATGTGTACAAACCTTTAATTCTTCATGATAACGAGATAATCGATAGAAATATGTTCAAGGCGGTGGTGTATACTAACTAATTGATTTGAATTGCACTACCGAGTCGATCTGAAGTTCGAGGTGGCCTTGACGCATAATACAACATAAAACATAAAGGTATGCATAAAACAATCAAACTAAGTCTACTCACGTAAAACATGACCCTACTAATCGTGGTGACCTTACGCTAATGTTATCTGGTCCCACTGCTACTACTGCCGCTTCTTGCACCGGAAAGTTTCTCTCCGACGGCTGCCGTGTCTAGCAAACTGTGTAGCTTTCGTTGGGAATTCTGAGCCGATATGCGTAAGGCCGAGAGAACCAGTGCCGTGTCGTATTCCGTTTGATTTCCCTTTTCATTATCCAGATAGATTTCTTGCAAACGTTCACCGAAGCGGGACAAAACACGGGCCCGATAATCTAAAAGCAATCAATACTATTAATCGCAATGATTGAAATTTCGGATAACCAAGCAAATCTTACCCACACTGCCTGCCACCGGGTTTCCCATCAGTCGTAGGTTCTCTAGCAATGGGAGATTCCCAATGTGATCGATTTCATTTATATCATCAATCTGATTGCAGCTCAGATCCAAATTGACTAGGGAGTACAACTTCGAAAGGCCTTCCAGCAAACGGATCCGGTTTTGCGACAGATTCAAACTCACTAAATTCCCCAGCTGCAAATGCCAGTCACGACATTCCGCTATCCGATTGGAGCGCAAGCTTAACGCTTGTAGGTTATTTAAGTGACTCAAATGTGCTATGCTTCCGATTTGATTCTTGTCCAGCACTAGGTCCTTTAAATTTGGAAATAGCCGAATCGAGTGATCGATCTCTGTTAGTTGATTATCTTTAAAGACGGCGTGCCGGAGGTTCTTCCACAGCTGAAAAGGAGGGTTAAAAAGTTTTGAACTTAGCCTAAATTAAAGCTCCATCAAAATAATACCCTTACCTTCGACTGATCCAGCTCTTCCGTATCGTTCCTATGAATATCATCACAAAGTGTTATCTGCCGTATGTGCTTGATCTCGCTTTTGTAAATTTCAATTCGAACCAAACTTTCACGAAGGCCTCCTGCAAATAATAAAAATGTTTAAACTATACCCATCAGAAAACAAGCAAACTATACTCACCGACATTCTCAATGTTTTCCGTCGAAATGCCATAGATAATGAGATTCCTTAAGCCTTTGAACACACTCAGCTCATATCGAAGCTGCGAGGGTATCAAGTTACTACTACCGATGGGTTTATGTAGCGCATGCGGAATGTATTTATCCGAATCATCATCGTACAAGATCATCGGAAGGCTGTTCTTCGCCGGAAGCACTATCGCCGTTTCCAGCTGAGAACAGAAGTCCATAATGTGGGAAAAATTCAACGTACCATCAGCAGATTCCGTCGAAGGACATGGTATCTTCAGTCGCTCGCTGATGGCATGCAGTTCCAGAACGGAGAGACCATACTTTTTCGACTTTGCCAGAAAACTTTCCCCCCGTAGGAAGAACGAATTGGCCAAGTTTTGCGTCAGGAATATTATATCGTACCGGTGGAATTCAAGGAACTCTACAAATTCTTTTGGCATCGTAACTTTTAGAAATATAAGCATTTCCTTTAGATACTGTTCAAGTGCTTCCTGGCGCTTTTTCAAGAAAGTAGGACTTTTATTACCAATCACCTTCTTTGGCGGTAGCTTGTCCTTGGCGACGCTGCGCTCTTGGACTAACTTATTGTGCAGATCATCAAAGTCCCGGTATCTTCTGTTGGCAGTCCACATGACATGACCACATTTGATCATAATTTCGTAGTAGTTCACACTGTCGACGGTGATGATTCTGGGAATGGAAATGCTGGTTTCGTTGGAGTGCTGCGAATAGTTGGACATTGTGTTCTCTTTTGTGGGGAGCTCCAAGGTCACTCGTTCATCTAAACAAGCCGTGACGGTATGCAAGTTCTACCCCAGTACGGTTGCTTACCATGCACACAACTTTTCAATCTTTTCAACAGTTAATCCATTTACACCCCGGAATTGCCAGCCTTTGTAGTATTCCACTTATCTAATAAAAATTCTAAGCGAAAAACGGGGATCACAACAAAGAGTTAACTTTCTGATGACACGTTTTGACGTTTCTCCTTCTGCTGGAAGTTGCACTCGCACTCGGTTGCACTTGCATGTTTTGCGTTTGTTTTGATTATGATTAGGGATGTCGAATATGTATCAAAAATCATAATCGAATGCAAAAAGAAATGCAACTTCGAAAAATGAATAAATTGAATAATGATTGTCGCTAATTATTGGGACACCCGGACAAAAAATAACCATAAAATTACAATAAAATACAATACATTCTATTTTTGTAATCCTATTGTAATTGCATTGTTTGCCACCACAATCCAGCATTTTACGATCGTTTATGGCCGCCACAATCTGGCTGAGTTTCTGGTAGGGAACATAAGATTTGAAGTTTGGCTTGTGTCGTTTGACGTGTAAATGATCAAATTTGAACGTTTACCAGTCAAACGACACAACCCAAACGTCAAATCATATGTTCCCTACCAAAAACTCAGCCAGATTGTGGCGGCCATAAGCGCTCGTAAAATGCTGGATACATTTTTGCCAAAACAACAGCCTTATACCAACAATCAATACGAAACTAACGATTTTAAATTGGCTCACCACTTTAGTAGCCTATTGGTCCCAAGCAAACGATTAACGTACCCTATTCTAGTTGAAATTCTATTACTACACTATGTTTGTTTTGATTTGCTATGGAAGTTTGACAGATAACATCAGGGGTGTGTGGATTCATGCAGAACATGCAGGGGTGAGTGAAATAGCTTGGGACTGCTTGGGACCGTTGTTCTGGTACTGAGTGAGCCAAAAATAATAATGATTTTCTTCGGGACCCAGTGGTCTTAGAGTTACCTCTATGCTTATACCATAGAGGTAACTCTAAGACTACTGGGTCCCGAAGAAAATCATTATTATTTTTGGCTCACTCAGTACCAGAACAACGGTCCCAAGCAGTCCCAAGCTATTTCACTCACCCCTGCATGTTCTGCATGAATCCACACACCCCTGATGTTATCTGTCAAACTTTCATAGCGAATCAAAACAAACATAGTGTAGTAATAGAATTTCAACTAGAATAGGGTACGTTAATCGTTTGCTTGGGACCAATAGGCTACTAAAGTGGTGAGCCAATTTAAAATCGTTAGTTTCGTATTGATTGTTGATACTAGGCTTAAGCAAATATATTATATTAACAATATGGTCCACTCTTTCGCTTACCTGGCGAACCCTCAGGCGAACCATTTTTTTTTTGCGATGAAAGCGCTTCTGTGGTCAAAAAGGCTACCAATGTATTTCAAGCTGAACATTGCATTTGGTCCTAAGTAATATGATCGATTTTCTTTGTCGACTTTCTCTTTCGTTAACTTGAGCACACACAGCAAAAAAAAATGTAATATCGATCAACGTAATTCAAGCTGATCTATGAAATAATGATGTAATAGCAAAAAGCAGATACAATATTACATCAATGGATGTAATTTTGTTCGCAAAATCGATGTACATCGTACAATGTGATATTACACAACCGATGGATTGACCTGGTTGCATCAGTTTTGATGTAATATTCAACAACTTTTTTTGCTGTGCATAACCGTTTCATTTTGTGTTTGTCGTATTAGATGCTAGATAAAATCTTCTTTTATCGATCTGTGTGTTGAACATACCTGGGAACTCGCCTGGGAATGTCTATACATGGCCGTGGAAATTCTAAGAGAAAGTCGACGAAGAGAATCTGTCAATGTTACTTAGGACCTAATGCAATGTTCAGCTTTATTTGTTTATCTTCACGGGGGGTAAACCAAATGAAATTTTGTATGATATTTTAAATATATGTATTACAGCATATTATTTTATTTGATGACAATAGTTACATGTCAGACAGCTTTTCATGTAATTGATTTTTATTTTTGTAATAACTGCTTTATTCGCGCCCCTCGATTGTAATTGAATTACTATTGTTGACCTTTTTTAACGCTAGATGGTATGAATAAAAACGTTTGCTTTACTTTTCCCGTAAGAAAAGTACGGGAAAGTAAAATCAATTCTTTTTATTCATACGGCCCATTGTTTGGGTCGTCATTGCGATGCATAGAAAAAGTATGAATGGATCATATTGTTAATAAATATAATATCTCGCGCAACACGAGAAAAGGGCCTATAATTTTGGATCGATTCTCTTCATCGATTTTCTCTTTCGCGAATAACCCGACTGCAAATGAATTTCCCATTCAGTGTGTTGTTTCAGGCGCAAGCTAACATCATGTTCTGTTGAACTGTGCTGCGAGCTTAGCGAGAAATTCATTTATGTAGCCGTGGTAAACCAAAGGGAAAGTCGATGATGAGAATCGATCAACGAAGGTAGGCGCTTTTCAAATGTTACTCGACATATATTTCGACAGTGAGGATGCATAAGGGCGAATACGCGATGATCGATTCTCTTCACCGATTTTCTATTTGCATTGCTACAGCTAAGCGAAACAATTTTCTAGAATTTGTTCAATGCAGAGTTGTAACAGGTTGTATTGGCTATCAAAAGCAACAGCAAACGCACCGAGAAACGTTAAATCTAGCGAGTTATTAACAAAAGAGAAAATCAACGAAGAGAATCGATCCTCGCGTATAGGCCCTTATGCATGCTCACTGTCGATTTGATTTATGCAATGGTATTTTTGACAGTTCAATATTTTTCATTTTAAAAATATTGTCTTTTAAAATCAGGCATAACATATGATAACGGCACAAAAACACCTTTCCGAAAGTGGTATTGGTTTGCGTGATCGTACTTTGGTTCGCGTGTAAAGGGCCTTAGAAAGTTTGTTTACAAATGCTTTTGTGCCGTTATCAAATGTTATACCTGAAATGTTTTAATTTTAAATATTGTCGTAGTTGAAACCGAGATTGAAACCACAGACAAACAGACATAACACTCGCAAGTTGTTCATCTAACAAGCATTTAACGGTCAATTTAAAAGTATCCTAGTTGGTAGTACCGCCACCGTTTACACACTACCGCCATCTGTTCAGCGTACTACCCACCACAGTGAACTCAACAGATGGCGCTAATGTTTCAGCGACGATGTTTTACAGTGAGAAATATTCAACGTGTTATGTCTGTTTGTCTGTGTTGAAACTATCAAAGTGGGGAGACTTTTAATTTAAAAACGAATTATTTTTCCTATTTTTTATTTTTTTTTTAATTAATTATATGATTTGAGTAGTAGCTATACTGAAGATCCGAGAGATGTCGCCCCTTCAGTGGTAGGAAAATCATTTTTGCAGTATGGAGAATATCCGAAAATCCACAATTTGTGACTTAACATGCTTTCACAGAAGGAAACAAATAAACGAGTGTTTACCTTATCACCATAGTAATGTCACAGACAAACAGACATAACTCTCGCAAGTTGTTCATCGAACAAGCATTTATCGTAGTTGGTAGTACTGCCAGCTGTGGCGCACACAGTCATTTCCGTTGCGTTTGAAGTTTACACACTACCGCCATCTGTTCAGAGTACTACCCACCTCAGTGTACTCAACAGATGGCGGTAATGTTTTAGCGACGATGTTTTACAGTGAGAAATATTCAATGTGTTATGTCTGTTTGTCTGTGGTAATGTACTCGTGCAATTTTTGTGCATCTAAAACTGCTCATAAAGACGATAATGAATAAAAACTGAAAATTTTCATGCATTTCCAAATGGTTTCCTACCATTCCCATACATTCGAAAGTGACTGGCCCTCTGGATGTGGATGATGTCAAAAACAACAAAACATGATTAATTAACGTCGGTCTCTGTTCCGCAATCTAGTGCCAATAACCGACGGACATCGATTGCCATCCATTGACGGCAATCGAATGTGCAGGAAGGCAGCTTCCACACCTGCGTAGGATATCGCACCCATTCAACACACATGGGCCGGGACCAACGGCTTTACTTCCCTTCCGAAGGAAGACGTGACCAGATATTTTTATGCCTCATAAAAAACCCACCGACCTCGGCTGGGATTGAACCCAGACGGCATAGTGAATCAAAACAAACATTGCGTAGTACTAGAATTTCGACTAGAATGGGGTACGTTAATCGTTTGCTTGGGACCAATAGGCTAGTCAAGTAGTGAGCCAATTTTAAATCGTTAGTTTCGTATTGATTGTTGGTTCTATCCTCGGTTCTATCCGAGGTTCTATCTGTGTCACTCTAGCCAAAGCCCTCGTCAAAACCGAAATGCATGACAAAATGGTTTATATTCAGCCACGCTGTCAAAGATCATTGCATGAAAAACCACCTGTAATCATATCAAAACAAACATACTAGCACATCTGCCAGCTGATGGCACAAGCTTCTAAGGAATTTTCATGATTTACAGTGAACCATATTATTAAAATTGACTTCTACGCCAGTTAGTCGTCTGTCACTTCGTCTGTGCTGTTTACTAAATCTGATAGGCCCTTTTCAATTGTTACGTTAGTTTTGACAGATGCACGAATTCAGTGCTAACATTTCATTAGGGCGAAACTGGTTTTGTGAAAAATTACTTCGACGGCTGATTTCTCGCAAATGAAAGCAATTTAACGATGTCAGCGTAGAAAAAACATGTTTCTACCTGATGGTCGCTTTGCATGTATAAGCTTTTGTTCACGTGAAATGCGAGAAATCGATATCTAAAACCATTGTTTACTAACTATATTTCGCTCTTTTGAAATGTTGGCACTGAATTTACTCATTGTCACATTCATCTCAATGCATAAATAAAACAAGCGCAAAAACGCGAATTAAATTTTATAAACAACCGTGACCTACTATTACATCTTTTAGTTTATTGGTTATTATGGAATTATAATAATATTATACTAAAATATTGCCTCAAATTATCCACTATGAGCTCGTCCGTGCAGCTCGCATCGTTTTGTCGTCTTTGTTTGTCGGTAATCAAAGATAAGGTGCCAGTTTTCACCAATGGAAACATTCTGGAAAATCTGTTGCATTTGATTGAGATCCAGGTAATCTTTTTGATTTGGCATTTTGTCGAGCGGTTATGGTAGGTATGTTATCCTATTGCAGATTAATCCGGATGATGAACCAGGTGCAGTCGTGTGCCTTGATTGCGTTGTAACTTTGGAGGGATTCCAACAGTTCAAAGAGCAGTGTCATATAAACGATGAGTTCGTTAAGACTATTTCGCCCAAGCTTCCGTGTTCCGCCTCGTCAGCCGAGGTGCCGGTGGGAGAGGAGGAAGAGGATCGAGAAGATTTGTTGGAAGTGGAGGAGCTCGAAGAAGAAGATCGCTTGGAACTCAGCGAAGCCGAAGAGGTATTTCAAAATATACCGCAACAGTCAGCAAAATCCAATAAAAATAAGACTACCGCAAAAAGTCTCAAGAAGGTTCCTGATCTGCAACGTGCAAAACTATCTATTGCGATGGCTTCTACAAGCAAACAGCAGGAAAAGCATAAAGAATCACCTAAAAATCCTTCCATTGACGATTTACAAGTTTTGGCAGAGTCATATCCGGATGACTTTTACTTCGAGAAGGGTCCTCGCTCAATTTACTACACGATGGTGTTTCACGGAGAACGTTACAATTCCGCGCTTTTCACCGAACACAGTACCTACTGGCAGTGCATTCATCGAAGAAAATATCAATGCCCGGCTCAAGTTTGGGTGAAAAATAATGATTATAAGACATTTGAGCAACTGCACAAACACACTCATGGTCAACTTCCCGAGAAAGAGGGACAAGCTTTTACGCCATATGAAGCCCTTCCGCAAATATTCCAGATGTGTAAGAAGATTGTCTTACAGGTAACATAACCGGTTCAACAATGCTTATAAAGGTTGGTTTAATGGAAATCATATTTTCTTTCAGAAACGAAGAGAAAGCGTGAGAAAGGCGGCAAGCTTCGAAGATAAATTTCAGCAGTTCGCTGCAAAACTATTGGAGAAAGAGGAAGACGAATCTGAATCACCACTAACTGTAGATGATTCTGATTCAGATGAAGAAGCTGAGGTTGTTAGCAGATTACGACCAAAACGGAAATTAAAATCAAACGATCGCTATGTCGGTAGAGAAAATCAGTCAACGAAGCGATTCCTTGATCCAGAAACGAATCCGAAAAAGCAAGCAATTCAACAACGTGAACCAAAACGGCTACAATCAGGTGGTAGGTCAAAAAAGAGAGTAGTGGAGTTGCGTCAATGTAAAAAACGTGAACAGAAAATTCAGGAAACAGATGAAGATGAGCTGGAAGACGATACCATTGTAGAAGAAGATTTGGATCTGGACAAAATCGAGGAAGAATGCAAAGCACTTAAAATCCGGAAACGGGCACCGCTAGGTCCCTCGCTAGATGAACAACTTGTATTGGCCGACTCGTACCCAGACTACTTCTTCTTTGAGAAAGCTCCTCGGTCCGTGTACTTTACCTTGGTGTACTACGGTGAACGATTCCACTCGGCCTTGTTTACGGAATATTATACCTACTGGCAGTGTCGACATCGCCGGAAGTACAAATGCCCGGCCCAAGTGCGCGTGACAAACGATTACAAAACGTTCGAACGGCGATACGAGCACAATCACCCGTATCTTACGGTCAAAGAAGGGCAACCGTTCACCCCGATGGAGGCCCTCCCGGAGCTATTCGAGGGCTGTCGAAAGGTGGTTCTCAAGGTAAGAATTGTGTTTATAATCTGTAATATATTAATTTCGGTTATGTATCGCGGTTTTAGAATCGGGCGAAGTTGCGGAAGAAGTTGTTGGAGAAGCATAAGTTTTTGCAAACAGTCAACCTCAACAGTTCGGCGGAACAGCAAGTTTCCAATACCGAAAGCAAAGAGGAAGTTGTTGAAGTAGTACAAGACGATAATGAAGAGGAAGTTAATGGTGAATACGTCGAAGAGCTGATCGAGGCAAAATCACCACTAACAGTAGATGATTCAGATTCAGATGAAGAAGCTGAGGCAACCACGCGCTATGCCAATGAAGAAAATCGATCACTTGAACCAGAAGCTATAGAAATAAATGGATCAAAAATGCGAGAAGTAGATAAGCGCGAATATAAAATGCGTGAACAGGAAATTCAAGAAATGGATGAAGATGAGCTGGCAGACAATGCCATTGTAGAAGAATATTTGGATCTGGACAAAATCGAGGAAGAATGCAAAACCCTCAAAATTCGGAAACGGGCACCGCTCGGTCCCTCGCTAGATGAACAACTTGTATTGGCCGACTCGTATCCTGACTACTTCTTCTTTGAGAAATTTCCTCGTTCCATGTACTTCTCCTTGGTGTACTACGGTGAAAGGTACCATTCGGCCGTTTTTACGGAATATTATACCTACTGGCAGTGTCGACAGCCACGGAGGTACAAATGTCCGGCCCAAGTACGTGTGACAAACGATTATAAAACGTTCGAACGACGATACGAGCACAATCATCCGGATGTTCCGGTCAAAGAAGGAGAAGCGTTCACTCCGATGGAGGCCCTCCCGAAGCTATTCGAGGTTTGTCGAAAGATGGTTCTTAAGGTAAGAGATAGGACATTTTGTTTGAATTTGTAGTTTGCAATTCCTAATTTCGTTTGTGTATCGCGTTTTCAGTATCGAGCGAAGCGACGGAAAAAGGTGTTGGAGAAGCATAAGTTTTTGCAAACGGCCGAACAGCAAGATTCCAATACAAAAAGCATAGAAGAAGTAATTGTAGCAGTAAAAGGCGATGATGAATATGATGTTTATGGTGAATACGTTGAAGAGCTGATCGAGGAGGTGGTTGAGGATTCAAGTTAAGCTGTGTAGGGTTATCTATTTTCAGCAATATTGTTCATTGTAACTTTAAGTGAATTCTCATAAAAGTGCAAAAAAGTGTGATACAAGCGCACGTTTCCGTCAAATGGTCTTGGTGTCTTCGGTTCACTTATTTCTTGCTCCAGAATAGGGTAGAGGAAGTCTTCCCCTATCCAATGGTGATGTTGATTTGCGTGGGCATATACCTTGACCTTTTAGAAATCATCTAAAGAAGTAATTGTTTACAAAAGCTGCTACACCCTAATTCCAGCTCTATCAAGAATTGCACCAAAGAAAAATATGATGCATGCTCGATCCAGGCCAGAATGAAACATTCCAGAATGCACATACCACAGACAAACAGACATAATACTCGCAAGTTGTTCATCGAAAAAGCATTTAACGGTCAATTTAAAAGTATCGTAGTTGATAGCACCACCACCTGTGGCGCGAATAGTCATTTCCCTTGCGTTTGACGTTTACACACTATCGCCATCTGTTCAGTGTACCACCCACCACAATGTACTCAACACATGGCGGTAATGTTTTAGCGACGATGTTTTACATTGAGAAATATTCAATGTGTTATGTCTGTTTGTCTGTGTACCTACCATTCCCCAGAAAACAAAATTCCCGCGCACCAAATTTTGAAATCAAGTTCCAGCAAAATGATTTGCAAACATGCTCATTTTACTGGAAGCTCAGTCCATTCTATGCGCACGAGTGTTGATGGTCTGAAAGTGAGGATAACAATAACAAACCAAAAATTTAGGCTGATGCGAAAGTGAGGAATTTTGGCTCTTTAGTTAGGATAACCAGAGTCCCGCCAAGAGAAAAGGTTGCGAACAATCAGCACTGTTTGTGAGTTATTTTTAGGAAACCAGATTTTTTGCGTTAGTATCGGATGACTTTCAATCAGAAATGAAAAATTTGCTGTCGATAACGGACGACGGGTTTCTACCAAGCTTGTAAGGTGATCGGTAATCAAAAACTACCACAAATTATTAAAATATTTAGTGAATTTTCTCAGTAATTTCAATGTAATAAAAATAATTGTGGGTAATTTATGGGTAATTTCAGTAAGTCCTACTGCTTGGAAAATAATTGGGTACTTTTAAAGATAATTAAAAAGGAATTCGAGTAATTCCATAAATATTTGAACTTTGGAATTATCATATTCTGTCTTATTCTATGTTATTATTGTTATTAAATTTTATGATTTTAGTTGTCTCAGGCAGTCAGTTGTAAGTGGTCACGGTCGAGGTCACGGTAGTCGACACATTTTCTGTGATAATCGACTGCCTTTGCTTCAGACATTTGCAAAACAAGCTATCAAATTACAGTACCAAACTAAAATTTCATATGACAGGCTCTGTCATACGACACTGTCGCCGAACACCGTCACGAATGTCTGTATTTTAGTTTTTCTCATAATAAGAGCTGCTGATGTTGTGCTTGAGTGAATTCTGAAAATAGTAAGCAATGATGTCCTAGTAATAACATTTCTGATAAGAAATGGTTTAATTTACACAAAATTGAGGAATTACAACGAAATCACACATGTCATATGATAGTTATTTTGATAATTTTCTTTTAGCTCGAATGTTATTCTACCGTTTGTGTTTTGTGAGAGAGACGACGGTAGAGCAGTGTACAAACAGACTGTCGCGCACGAAAACGAAGCGAGTGTAGTAAAAAACGTTTCAACCCCTGGTCTCAAGTATAATTAATTGTTGAATTTTTAGAAATCGATTTTAGATTTTAAAAAAATCTGGAAAAAATTAGAAGCCACAATATGCAACCCCCGACGCAACCAAATCAAATCGACTTTATCATATTGGCGCTCTTACGAAAAATGCTTCGTTTCGATTTCTGCAATGAGGCTTCAGTTAAAAATACGAATAAAATATTTTATCTATGACATCATGACACACATTTGACAGGAAAACCACAAAAAAAACGACCTTCAGATAGACTTTGTGCTACAGTTTTCCAACGCAAATAAGACCCGGGGTATTATAAATGAACCTCACTTTTTTCCATCCACCAACTAGACCATACAGAAAAATTGGTGGTCTTATAGTTGAAGTGGGTCCTTTGATTATAATGCCGCGTAAATGCCTCTAAATCCAAATCAAAACAAAAGCAATAGACGAGTAACGCTATTGAAAAATTGGCTTGTTTAATCTCGAAAAATATACCGATTTTTATACGTCATCTGATAGAGCTTCGTTTTCTAAGCACAACGATATTTTTATCGATCCCGTAGACATTCATCTCGATTTTTAAATGAATATTTAAATTTTTTATTGTTGACACTAAATCTATTCGTTGACAGCTCGCTCCCTTACACGAAACGAAAATCAATTATTTTGTTCATGTGTTTCACTTATACATTTTTGCCAAAACATCAGCCTTATACATTCCATAAGACAAACCACATAGGTCCTATAAGAATGCATAAAAGGTATGTGTGACCGCTTATACATTTCATTTGACACATGAGCTTCATTAACTTTTTGCAAGGCGTCTGCTTATTAGTTGACTTATACATGTTATGAATAATCAGCAATTGACATTTGCCAGAAGGTATAAGGAGATTTCTATCCGTGTACAAAGTCCCACCAAGGGCCGCTAAGAAGGTGATTTTTGCTAATGTAATCGTACTTAATTAAAATAGTTCCAGTGTACCAAAACTGATGCAATTTTGGATTTCGGTTCCATTTTTAATGCAGATAACGAATAAGTAGTAAATACCCCTAAACAACCCAATTAAGTAATTTAAAAAAAATATTCAAGTAATCGTGGTAATTTCAGTAATCGAAAATAATAAAAGTAATTTCAAAGTAATAAAGTAATTTTACTTAATTGAGCAGTAATCAGAGTAATTTTTGGTAATCTGACTAGCACTGATCGGTAATTAACGCTGGTAGAAACCCCTCGATAACGGAGCTTCTGGGAGACAAAAACAATTTTAGAACATGAAAAATGTTCAAACAAGTGCTTGATACAACTTATAAATACCACAATGTTCTAAATAAAGCGAAGGAATCATCTAAAATTACTAAAATATTGTCAGTAATGAATGCAATACCACAGACAAACAGACGTAACACTTTGAAAAAGTTTTCTTGAAAACATAGTATCTCAAAATATAGGACCTCAGTAACGACATCTCTCGGGCTTCTCGCGGAAAACAAGTTTGCTCGCTAACTCGCAAACAATATTGCATGAAAGTTCTATAGAATGTATAGAAACGTCAAAGTGATCCGATGCCAGCGCTGCGGCGAGTAGTTCGCGGAACTGATAATATTCAAATCAACCGTTAAATGCGTGAACGAAGATACACAATGAAGTGTTACGTCTGTTTATCTGTGGCAATACTTTTAGTTCACTGGCAATGGGAACAATAATGTTTATTTTTTGTGTGTTTCTGGGTTTTGTAGTTGTTGTTGTCTGGTTTATATTTGTATTTTCTCTTCTTGGATGAACTTGTGCACGGAAAGGAATTATGCAGTAGAAACTACTATATTGGGGATTTAAATTAAATGCAACGCACCTACGTTTTTTGCAGACTATAATATAATATTGTGTTTTCTCAACAAGCACAAAGGTTGTCAAAAATACTATGCAGCAAAAATTTACCTTAACTAGTATTTCTAACTAGGCGTGCTGTCGTTTTTACTATGGGTTTGTGCATTGGCTTGTGTGTATTAAGGAACGAAATAATTGTACAATTTACTATGAGCAGTGATTATTTACTATTTCATGGTATAAAGAGAGAGAGAAAGATTAGTAATTTCCATTAAATTCCACAACCTTTTTGCTTATCCTTGACTCGAGTATTAATACAAGACACTGAAGAAGTCTGCACATTGTAGACGAAATACGCGTATCTGTCAAGGATAAGTAAATAAGGTAGTGGAATTAAATGGAAATTACTAATCTTTCTCTCTCTCTCTTTATACAGGTATTCCACTAAGACGCCCATATTCATCAGGATGCCATGGTAGATTATTTTTTATTTAAATAAACTATTGGATTTTATTAAATACAACCGTAAAAAGACATTTATTTGAAAACGTACCACATTAAAACATGTATTTTTGCATTAATCTTCTGAGTCACACATACCTTGTTATTGATACCTGCGATATTCAGCTTGGTTGATAGATGGCTAAATTGAGCTGCTGGTAATCTTTTGTTATCTACTGAAGGTGCCAACAGTAGCGTAAGCGTAGTTTGACCTCTTTTCGATGCCGTAACCCCATCCAAACGACCTCTTTTTGACGTAGGACTACGTCTTTCGGGAAGATGGGGGTACACTTTATGAAAACCGACAAATGAAATTATGAAAGATTTTGAATGTTGGTAACTTAGCTGCCCCTAGACCAATTTCAAAAAAAATTATCACCAATCGATCAGAAACATTCCTACACATCGATAACAATGCTTTTGATTGTTGATTTTCAAATTGAAACTATTGAAAAAGTGGTAAATTTCAAGCATTGTCCAAAAACTTCGAAATAACTAACAAATCCACCAATTACGTACGCATATGCTGCTTCCCCAACACAGTCATCAGAGAATGGTTCCTAGATGAAACAAGTGGAAGTGACATTCGCCTCCGATCTTCGGGCGTGTACGAATAGGTATGATGCAATTGCGGAACATGTTGCTGCCAATTCAGGACCACACGGCCCCAACGACCACACAAAATGCTCTCCGTTTTTTCCTTGGATTTGTTTTCCGTGCTGAGCACCAATGCTACCCACACCTGAACCACAGACAAACAGACATAACACATTGAATATTTCTCACTGTAAACATCGTCGCTAAAACATTACCGCCATCTGTTGAGTACACTCTGGTGGGCACTACACTGAACAGATGGCGGCAGTGTGTAAACGTCAAACGCAAGGGAATTGACTATGCGCGCCACAGGTGGCGGTACTACCAACTACGATACTTTTAAATTGTCCGTTAAATGCTAGTTCGACGAACAACTTGCAAGTGTTATGTCTGTTTGTCTGTGCCTGAACCCTACCTATCGACCCATCAACTCATGAACCGGGGACCAACGGCTTTACTTCCCTTCCGAAGGAAGGCGTGATAAGAGATGTTATGCCTCAGAACATCCCAGTGGCGCCGACTGGGATTGAACCCAGGTAATAACGCTCGAGATAACGCTTACCTGAGTAAGAGGTAATTACGCTTACCACTACACCACGCCAATACTTACCTGGCGTAGGGGTTACCGTGATCACGAAGGCGGTTCCCCCAGGGAGAGGCCCTTCCATTGCACTACACCACGCCGCTGATCTCCAGAGTTGTAATCCTGTAACCAAACTTGGAAGCAGGGGATACTGTATATAAATTCTATTCTAACTCTTTTCTGAAATGACTTCTAACTTTTCAGGGTCACCAATGTTACGTTGGTGGTGAGTTTTAACCTCCGAAACCATACAGAGTGCGTCCCTGTTGCTTCAGAGCATCCATGTCCGTGATGGTTTTGCGCTTGGCGTTCTCAGTACAGGTGACGGCATCACGGATCATAATTTCTAGGAACACCTTCAGCACACCTCGGGTTTCCTCGTAGATCAGACCGGAGATACGCTTGACACCACCCCGTCGAGCCAGATGACGGATGGCAGGCCCTGGATGTTATCACGCATAATTTCCCAATATCGACAAAGCTGCATCATCATGACTGTATGTAGCCAATGGGATGCGAGAAAATATGGTATAGAGCTGGTTGTTTATATAACAGATTGCTAACTACGCTTTTGGCTTAGTTTCGATTCACCCGTTCAACGACAAACATCAAGCAACAATGACTAGTTATGGCAACCCGCATAAACGCGAACCATATCTTGACCTTACCGAAAATGGTTAAAAATTGTTTATAATCCTTCCTAAACTTTAACTTAAATGGTTATGGAACTTTACATGAACGTTTGTGTGATAAAGTTTTAACCTTATGTATTATGGTTTTTTGGAAGTGAACCTTACAAATAATGGGTTGTTAAGAACCATTACCATTCAAAATTCTTGTTTTCTCCATACATTTTCGGAAAGAAAACTATATTAGAACCT